ACCATTTGGCCCGGAGAGATGCTCTGTGGTTAAGAACATGGGCTACTCTTCTGAGGACCTGAGCTCAATACCCAGCACCAACATGGAGCCTAACAACCATCCGGAACTTCAGTTCCAGGGGATCTGATGATGTCCTCTTCCGGTCCACTGAGGGCACTGCACATACCCACACAAAAACATACACATAATTAAATATAAAAAAGAAATACTCAAAAATTCCTATGTTTGTCTCCCCACCTCTCCATCCAGTCTCATGTCTCTACCCCATTTGTAAGTACAAGACAAGGAGACAGAACCCAGATGAGAAGCAAACACTTCACGTTCCATGTCTGCTCCACTCCTTAATACATCTAGACACCACGCTTAGGGACACCATTCAGTGCTCAGGTACTAAGGTGGACTAAAGAAGACACACAGAAAGGAGGAGAACAGCGACAGAAAGAGAACTGATGTGAAATGTTACGGTAGCTGTAGCAGATCAAGTCTGACGGCTTCACATTCAGACGGCAAATAGCAAACAGGCAAGAGGTGTCTGGCTGCAAGTCAGACAGGCAGTGGGGAGGGATCAGAGTATGGCCAAGTACAGAAGGCTGGGGATGCCGGGAAGGATGGGTACACTGTCCAAGAGCGAGTCAGAGCACGTTCCTGGAGAGCAAAGTGGGGACCCACAACTTTGAGTGCCCTCTGGGAGTGGTGCAGTCCAAGGAGTAGTTTCTGTGAAATCCAAGTCCCAGTATAGTCAGAGACTGCACACAAAGCCACAGTCAGGCAGGTAACTAAGAAGCAGGGCACTGGGAACATTTCGGTGTGGTGGGACCAAGGAAGGGAAAGAAAGAATTAGGCAGGAACATGGAGCATGTTGTTTTTCATGGAAACAACTTAAAGTTCATAGTAAATGCCTATTAAATTTAGATTGACTTGCTTTTTAATGGGGGAAGGCTGATGCTGCAGACATTTGAGGAAGCAGGCAGAGTTCACTGGGAAACTTCTCTTTGGGATAATTTTTATCTGGCCTTCACAAGATGGTACCAAGGAGAAGCAGTGGCAGGAACTAAGCAGGAGCTGGCAAGACACCACCTGTGAAACTGCAAAGTGCTTTCAAGAATGCGTAGCATCTCATGCCATGAAGTCACATGGGAGATCTGGATTCAGAGCTTGCCTTGTAGGGCAAATGGAGGATCACAAAGGATTAGACACTGTTTAAGACATTGTCTACAGAATGCCACTTAAAAAGCACCTTTTATGTGCTCGGGGAGGTCACAGGGATTCTGTTCCTTGTCCCTCAGGATTACCTAGGACAGTAGCTGTCCCTGGCATCCTCATTTTCGATAAGTAGATAGGGAGGCGCAAAGGCATTCCCTGGGGGATAGTGGTAGAGTTTGGCTTAAACTCGGGTCTGTCTCCTAAGCTCACTATCTAAACAGTGCTGTTGCTGTTTGCCTTAAAGTTAAATTCCAGCAACCAGACTGAACTAAGGACACTAACTGGTAACTATGGATCTGCAGAGGCTCTGCTGCTATTCCTGTCTCCTAGACTACTGACAGCATTATGGGGCAGTACTTGTGACCCTGTTCTTACCAGAAAGCTAAGGTTCACAAAGCTAATTTGCGGAAGGTCACACAGCTTTGAGAACTCCACACTTTGATCCTTCTGCAGTGACCCCCTCCAGCCAGCAGCCTCATAGGTCAACCAGAACAGTGAGCCGTGTGACCTACTTGGGTAGACACCGAGATACAGCATGAATAGTGCAAGAGGAGCTGAAGGTGAGCCAAGTGCCCACAGACGTGTGTGTCAGGCGGCACACCCTCCAGAGAGGCCGCTGCTGGGAAATCCTCACTTTGAACAGAAGCTCTAAAAGCTGTTTATTATGGTTCCTTGCCACAGTACCTAACTAACAAAAAAATCAATGGAGCTTAACCAAGGATTAGGTGATTTTTCATTGCAAGTATTTGGCGCACAAAATAAAAACAACAAAAAGACGGGAGGGGTATGAAAAATGTTTACTGTTCATGAGACTAACACTGCCACAGAGGCTCGTGACACCTGATCTGAGCCACCTGAAGCTAATCACATTGTGCTTCTCATGGGTTCACCCTGTGAACAGTAAACAGGACACATGAAGAAGACAGTTTCCTTGGGTCTCAGGGGCCCACTCAGGAAAGTCTGGCCAGGAAATCTTCCTAGAACTCTGCCTAACAAGCTTCTAAAAGTCATTTTCTCAACTTAGCTGGGCAGAGAATGCACAGTTCAGTTAAGGAGGTCTCAGTGAGGCATTTGGTTACAAGCAGTCAAGAGGAGTGAACTGGGAAACATACTTGACTTCCCTGGTGGGGTTAGAGGCTATCTGTTTCTTTAGTAAATGCTTGGAGGTAACCAAAACAAAGAAAATCTTAATAATATTAATAACAGAACTTATCACGACACGTTCATGAAAACCCAAGCAAGAAATTATAAGGTTAAACGTCACTGACCTATCTGGTGGCTATACTGCAAATGTCCAAAAGGCAAAGTCAAACTCCACTGTGGAGGGTAAAGGAATGCTCAGTTACCTGTGCTCAATGTGCACAAGACGACAGCCATAGCTATAGTAGAGGCATGTATGTGCACCAGTGCTCCTGGCTGAGGTGCGGCCACACCGAGGTGAGTAGGACGATCCCTGTCCTCAAGGAGCCTCAGTCTAGTAGGGAAGAAACATACTAGACTGTGAGCTCCTCGAGGGCAGGAAAAGTGCTCCGGTCATCTGTGCCTCAGCGACCAGCACCTGAGCTGAATGCAGGGTGCGGCTGTCTGTGGCAGAGTGGCTAAGCGCAAGAACACAGAGCTGTGAGAGGGTGCATGCAGGCTGGCAAGCTGTGAAGTCACAGAAGAGTCAGTGCAAAGAGGCCAAGAAAGACGGGAAGGCCTCTGCAGGCAGAGGAGGTCTTCCCTATGAGTCTGGCCTTGGTGTGAGAAGTGAAGGGGTACAAGATAATGTCAGGCCCTACTTGTGGCCTGCAGCCTTTGGCTGGACACAAAAAGCCACAGGAAGCCAGAGGAAGGTGTTGGAGGAACAGAACTGCTTTCTGAGAATGTCAGACTAAGTCAGTTACTTCCAAACAGACGAGAAGCTGCAGGTGAGGGAGAAGCTGCTCAAAGAAGGTGCTCTGCTGCTTGCACCGTGGTGTCCCACTGGCAATTTCAAATGGAAGCTCAGCACTTGTGACAAGTGGGCAGGCCCAAAGCTGTAGATGGAGAGGCAGAGCCCAGAGCAGGCAGGCCAGGCAGGGAGGAAGAGCACTGGATGCACAGGAGGTGGGCAGGGGCCTGGCCAGCCCAAGTTCAGGGGTGGAATAGCGTATCTGCGAAGTGGGGTAGTCAAGAAGCAGGCCTTTGGGCAGTGAAATCAGCAGAGAAAGGGGTGCAGGGAGGGGGACGGACCTCCTGTCAGCCAGAAAGGGGGAGATGCCAATTACAGGATCTGTCAATATGAGGAACAGAGCAAAATACCAGCCCGCCCCTCCCAAAAAACCCTGAGACACAAAACCTACAACTGCTTCTGAGCAAACCAGCTTGTCAGGGTAATTGCAGCAAAAAACTAAGAAGCAAGAGATCAGAGAAGACCGAGGGTTTTCAACTAGAAGGAAAGTGACAAGGATGGACTGCCACTGTTGGAGACACTGAGAGGGAGGCCTACCATGAGAAAGGCCACGCAGAGCTGTCCCAGGGAAGGGAGGGACCCCCAGGGAGGAGAGTGGACAGGACCACAGGGTGGCTGGTCTCATGGAATGGAGCCTCACTGCACTAAATGAACACAGCTTGTCTTTTCATGGACACTTGAGCTCTCCGTGTTGAGAACACAAATGTGTTTGGCAACACCACTGACTGGGTAAACCACCTACGTGAGTTGGGCCACCATGAGGCCTAACTTCCTGAGACACTCCCCACAAAGAGCTTCCCTAGCAGATTGAGCAGTGGCTGAGGAGAAGGTGGTTAGATGAGCTCTCGAGGTCTTCTGGTCTGTGACATTTGAAGATGATTATTAACATGACTAAAACACAGCAAGTATACAAATTCACATAACTTCAGGGAAGGCCCCTAAGTGTGAAGGCAGGTGACAGCACACACTGAGCCTAAGTGTTATATGTGTGGTCAAGTTCCTCAAGCCTGCGGAGTATGTTAAAATACAGTCTTACCCAAATGTTAGCTTGGTCTACATCTACCTAGACTGTAGTTCAATTCAATCCAATTCAGCAAACATCTTTCTGCAGTTGCCTGGTTTAGTCCTAAACCCAGCACTGAGCTGCAGGAACAAGTAGCACATGGGTGATGGCTCTCAGTTCCGCAATGTGCCAGGGACACAGACAAGCCAGCCAAGACCTCCCCAGGCCTGGAGGCAGGGAGACTATAGACGCTTCTCTGAGGGGCTTGCACAAACCTGGTCTCTATGAGAGCTCCAGGGGTCTGGAGCTGCTGGAGGCCTGGGGCCTACCAGGGCTTGGCACAAGTACCAGAACAACGATGTTTTAAATATAACAGTGGGAATACTCAAAAGGTGCCAAATGAGGGGCTATCTCTTTGGGAGACAGGGTTGATTAAGAAGTTTCCTGAAGGAAGGACTACCGGGGATGGATTCTGAAGACTGAAGAGAGTTCATCCGGTAACAAGGACAGGCAGAGAACACAGTGTGTAGAGGAGTACCAACAGTCAGGCACTGGGGAGCACCAAGTGCAGGGAGGAGACGGTGCTGTGTGAGATGAGTAGAGATGGTCACAGGTCTCCTAAAGCCCTGCCAAGCTGGAAGCCAGGGGCAAGAGGTTTGATCACAGCCAGATCTTTAGGAAGATTACTTCACTATACACTCTAGTAAGGTAATGAGACATGTAAATCACATGTCCAAGTACTCATTTACAGAAATAGCTCCACCTGAGACGCACTGCTACCGTGACCTCTGAAGATGTGACTGCAAAGGAGGAGAAGCAGCAGACTGCCCCCGCCCCAGGCCCTTGCCGCCCCACTCCTACCTGAGCTGAGCTTTAAGTTCAGTAAACCTGGGCCGCCTGCTGGGGTCATAGGCCCAGCACTTCGTCATAAGGCTGTAGAGGGTGGGAGGGCAATTTGGAGGCATTGGTAATCTTTCCCCATTTTCAATCCGACCGATCACATCATTGTTCTTCACTCCTTGAAAAGGCTTCACACCATGCATCAGTATCTCCCACATACATACACCTGTGGGGTGGGAACGAAAACAGTGCAGTGAGCTCAGCACCAAGAGAGGAACGAATGCCCAGGTTGCAGGGATGAGAGAGTCAGGTGGGAAATCTAGGCAACTTGCCTATTCATAGTGGCATTTGGTTAGTGCCAAAAATACAGGAGAATAGCAATCACTAATTGATACGGTGTGAAGAATGAAGTGTTGAATCATCACCAAGAAAAGTTGGTAAAGTCGTGAGTCGCCTTAGTGGCTTACTTCTGAAAGTTCTATTATGAAGTGGCTCACCAGCTACCATAATAGGTTCTAGCTTAGCCGATGCAAAAACAAAACAAAATTCTGAGTGACCTGTAGATAGACCCCTTGCCAACTCTAGACCACCCTGATTTTAACTAAAGTAATCCTATTGTTTAAGTCTTGAGCTTAAGAAAGTTTGAATTCCTCACCAAGATCCATAAAGGCAGTACCGTTTGGTTTCCACACTTGCATCTCAACCAAGGGCCATGACTCAAGTTCAGAAGGTGCACCTGCCCTCTGCCCTGAGAAACCAGGCATCTACCCACCATCTTTCCATACCCTAAAGAATTCACCACATCCTTTCAAACAAAGAACAAATACAGCAGCCCTGACACTAAGGTTGGTGGTTGTGACAGGGAACAGTGTGCTCGCCCAGGGTTGGAGGTCTCTCAGCATCTTGTGTCACGGCCCTCCTGACTTCTTGTGTCTCCTGGGGCATCCCAGTTCCTTTATGGAGCTTTTAAAAATAACTTAAAAATGTTTTTATTAGCATTGTTTTCTTTAAAAAAATAACAAAATTATTTTGAAAAACTTTGTATAGGTTGGAGAATTTAGAAACAAAGTGAATGGCAAACTCACATTATGACAAATTACAATGACAAATTTCACATTATTATTGAAGTTTGGTGGTACAGTTTTGTCAGTAAATGATATTCAAAAACAACAGTAGACATGTAGAATTGCAAATTTACATCCTAAAGTACAATTGCATATTTTTAGTTTGAAAATTGTATCAGTTGAGTTATTATAGCACTTTTAAACTTCCCAGACTGTGATTTTTCTCTCTAAAGTTCAATTAGGTGATTTACATTTTCTGTAGGGCACAGGTGAAGGTACACTAGTGGGAATGGGAGGGGTCTAACATCAGGCCTAGATATCCAGGACCACTAGTGGAGTCAAAACCACAGTGTGCCTCAGGGGAGGTGGGAAGTCTAGAATATCAGTCCTCCCATGACCAGAATCTGCAAATGACAAGAGACCTCCAATATCCTGAGCATAAGCCCAACACGGAGGCAAAGCCACTACCTTGTACAACCTGGGACCTCAGAGGAGGCGGCTGTGGGGAAATGCAGCCCCCCAGGGAAGGCTGAAACTGCTGCCCAGCATCGGGAAGTCCTCCACCCTCCACTCTGTGCCGCCATCAGCCTACCAGCACAGGAATGTGGAACTGTGGACTGCAGTAGAGGACCAAAGTACCAGGCTTGTGTGAAGTGACTGTAGCTCCAGCTCACAGCAGAGGACCACAGTTCTGGCTCATGGGAAGGAGGACTGCTCCAGTTCTGGGGCTGTTCTTGTGTCTATGCTTGGAAGTTCCGTCCATTTCAAGTCTACTGCTATTGCAAAACACACACTTAAAGGTGGTGCACAAGGGGAGAGACCGACTGGACGGAGTGAAATCGGCCTCTAAGGAGACAAGCCACATTGTATGTTCATTGAAAACAAATTCTGAAATTGGCCCCAAGTCTAGTGATGTCCATAATTCTAAAATAGAGCTGACAAAAGAAAGCCTTGGTGCTGAAGATTGAGCAGTTTCTTGCTGGAAACCCACAACAGTCATCAGTAACAGCAACACTGGTTGTCATGTCTCAGAACCTTGGGTAACCCAGGCACCTTTCTTTGAAATTTATACATCTCAGCTCAACAGCCACATAGACTTGCACGTCTTTAAATATCATTCTTTTAAAGTCAAATCTATGATGCCACTGATAATAAAAAACACTATTATTTTATGACAACACGCTGCCATCTTAAGCTATGAAATAATCTTCACTTATCACTTAGATTTTTATTTTACTCTTACCAAGAGCTTTTTTAACCCGTTATATATGAAAATAACAACACCCAACTGACAAAGCCCACATGAATATACCACGTACAACTGTATAAAAAAAAAAAATGCCTCAATAAATATCAAGTGTAAAATCTCAAGATATTCCCAAAATGCTAGAATGTGAAGAAACAGGCAGTTAAGACTCTGAAGTGCAGTGTTTCCCTGTGGTCTCCACAGTCAGCAACTATGGTCTCCAACATGCACCTGCATACCTGGACCCCAGAACCTTGCTAGTATTTTCTTTTGCTTACTTGCTGGTCAAAGAACTAAATGGTTATAAAACCAACAGCAAGCAGAGAGAGAAAAAAAGTGAGAACACTTGGTGTCTATGAAGTTGGTTTTATTACAGAAGAAAAAGCTACTCGAACTTAATGTATCTCTCTGAAGCAGTTTGAAACTGTACAGACCATTTCACCCAAGCCTACCCATGAGATCCACATGAATGTCAGCGCCAGGAAGAAAACACAGCATGCAGAGCAAGGGAATGGGTATCTAGTAGACACTGATACAGGAAGCTTGTGAGGAGGGGTCACCTCACATTAGATTAAGAATGAGTATTCCAGGCAGAAGGACTAACACTAGGAGGGCAGGGCGGGAAAAGTAAGGCAGTTTCTAATTAGGAAAGAATGTAAGTCTATGATGTAGAAACCTTAGAGCCACACTTCCACGCCAGTTGGGAGGTGTTCCAACAGTCCACAGAGCAGCAGCAGGAGGGTCATACTAGACATCAAAGGACAAATCACAAGAGATGAAGGGCCAGCTCCCAAGCCTTGACAGAAGCTTCAGAGTAAGGGAGCACAGGCAGACCTCTAGGCCAGCGGCTCCCCACAGAGATCTGAGTGTTGAGATACAATGAGGGCACAGAGAGGAGGAAGAAAGCACCAAGCAGATGTCCCATGGGGACAGCAGACAGCAGTGACCCAACAGGGCATTTTAGCAGCATCTGAAAGCTGCAGCACAGCACTGGGTCTGGTGATCAAAAACAAGTCTGACGAAGGACAAAGCAGCCTGCGCATTCTGAAGAGACAATGCTAACTTTACTTTGTAGACTGTGTAAATACTTTATTTAAAAAAATACTCACCAAACATCCACACGTCACTAGCTGAGGTAAAACGTCGAAAATTAATTGATTCTGGAGCCATCCATTTTATAGGCAGTTTTCCTTTGGAAGCTAGAAGATTAATTTTAGAAAATGAATTTTCCTTGTCACCTGCTTGAGAACCTAACGGAGCTGGCTGGGACTTTTAGCATCAAAATAAAAAGCTTTGGCTCTTTGAACACTGGACTTCCATTTCTCAGGGAGAATGATTCTCCATTTCCTTGGTCCTTTGAGGTAATTTGGGGTGGCAAGTAGCTAGCCTGGGTTAGAAGAGGAACCCGGATGCCCCCTACTCTTTAGTTAGGCAGTGAGCACACACAGTCCCCACGACACAGGATTCAGTGTCCTGGAGCATCTCCACCTGCAGTCAAGACCTTTGATCTACAAATGCCCCACGGATGATGAGTACATCTGGCTCTCACTGGGACAATTGGGATCCACAAAGCTGCTACAGACACAGAATCTGTGTTCCCAGGGGAAACACAGACTCATATAAACACATTTTGTGCAGATTACAATCTTAAATCCTAAAACGATTCATTTGGATAGGTTCTATTTTTTACAAACCAGGCTCAGACCCACTAACCATGCTGAGGTGGCTCCACTGACGGGAACCAGCACTGCTGGCTCTGTCTCCTGACCTAAGTCCTTTGGCTCAGACAGCAGTGCCCCATTATTGAACTTCAGGTATAGTCTTGACTGCCCTGTGCATACCTTGAATGACTACAAAGCAACTCTAGTACTAACTTGAGGAGCTGCAAACTTTAGCAGAGGTGAACAGAAAGGCTGGAACCCATGGAAACCCAGGACTGACTGCAGTTTGTATAGAGACAGAGGGGCCAAGGGAATGCAAAGAAAAACCCGATTAATGGCCCTGAAAATGCCTTCCTACCAGAGCCACAACCTCACTAGAGACTCCAACTGCTGAGTGTTACACACTGTGCTTTTCCTCAAAGGACTCTCATTCTGCAAGGCAGATGCAGAAGCACACTAAAATACATACCAGGTGAAAGAGAGAGGAAGAGCAAGGGTCAACTGCCCTGTGAACAGAGGGAAACATGCTGGGGAGAACAAAGAGGCAGGGCCCAGAGCAGGAGGAACAAACACGGGCCCCACGGGCTGCCTCTGTAAGCAGCAAGTCTCTCTGAAGACCTATAATTCTCAGAAAAACTAGCATTCTGAAGAATCCCAAGCTTCTAGAGGTTATTTACACTAACTGACCATTCTGAGAAGATGTTTACATGGATTTGCTAGATTTCTATTTTAAATAAACATTTAATGTGAAATCACTGGTCAAGTAACTTGGAATTTAGTTGTTTTTTTTTTGTTTTTCTTCTGGTCTTTTGAGACAGGGTCTCCCTGTAACCAGCTGACCTGGAACTCATTATGTAGACCAGGCTGGCCTCAAACTCACAGGAATCCGCCTGACTCTGCCTCCCAAGTGCTGGGATCAAAGGCACGTACCACCATGCCTGGATTTTTGGAATTTAGTTCTGAATTGGAATTTTAGGGGCTTGGGCTGTTAAGATTTGAGCTGAATATGAAATTTATTTGAAAATAGTAAAAACCTTTTTCTCTCTTGCTAGATGAATAAATAAAATCATCAAACAATTCTTTTATGTCAAAGGATCACAGTTGAAATACGGATGAGTTTACAGGTTATCTGGGTCCACTGGGTAGAGCACTCTGAGCCGATTGCAGAGTGTGTGTGGTATGTTGGGGACCAGACACAGGACTTCCCATACATTAGGCAGGCACTGACTTGTACCCCCAGCCCTGTCCTAGTTTGTTTCTTCATTGCTGTGACAAAACACTCTGACCACTACTAACTTGGGGAGGAAAAGGTTTATTCAGCTTACATCTCTCGGGTCACAGTTCATCTCTGAGGGAGCCCAAGGTAGGAACTCAGGGCAGGATCCTGGAGGCAGGAGCTGGAGCACAGGCCATGGAGGAACGCTGCTTTGCTGCTTACTGGATTGCTCCCCTGGCCCCTGCTCTGCCTGCTTTCTTATACAACACAGGCCCACCTGCCCGGGGTGGTACCACCCACAGTGGGCTGGGTCCTCCCACATCACTCATCAAGAAGATGCCCCTCAGACATGGCCACAGGCCAGTCCAATAGAGGCAATTCCCCGATTGAGGCTTCCTCAACCCAGGTGTGTCAAGTTGACACTAAAGCTATCCAGCACAAGCCCTGAGTGCAAATTTTGGCTAACATCAAGAAACAAAGCTCTAGTAACATTTGAAGTTTGGTGTAAAGCCGTGTCTCAGTTCTCTGGTCACTGCCCACGAGTTCAAGCCCTGGGTATGGTAGCTGTGCAATTAGAGCCTTCCAGACTCCTTTTCAAGTAGTTCAGCATCTTCACATTCACAATAGCAACTTCTGAGCAGTTTCCCCATGTCTCTGCCTGCACTGAGTGCTGCAACTCATTGCTCCGTGATCCTGATGGGTGCAGAGTTCTCTCACCTGGGGCTTTGACATGCAATTCCTAGTTCAGACCCTAAACAGCTGTGTGCTCATCTACCACCTGCACAGTCTTTTCCACAATGTGTCTTCTTTTTAAAAACATTCTATTACATTTCAGGGCTGGAAAGATGGCTCAGCAGTTAAGAGCACTAACTGCTCTTGCAGAGGACCCAGGCTCAATTCCCAGCACCCACACGGAGGCACACAACCATCCGTAACTTCAATTCCAGGGGATCTGACGCCCTCTTCTGACCTCTGCAGGCACTGCATGATACGGGCACACTTATGACACATGCAGGCATAACACTCATACACATCAAATTTAAAAATTTTTAATTATTTTATGTATGAGTTTATCTCTCCAGTCCCACAAATGTGTCTGTTTTAAGGGCACACTTCCTTTACCTCACCCTTTGACACTGCTATTTTATGACATATGTGGCTGGCAAATAGTTTCTCAAATTCTACACCTCGTCATTCATCCTCTTAACAGTCTTTATAGAAAAATGACCAATTCTAGTGGGGCAACTTATCAACTGTTTTCTTTTTATGCACCCTTGCTTTTGGTGTCATGTACAATGAATTCTAGATCACAAAGGTTTACTACATTGTTTCTTGTAACACTTTTTGCAGTTATATGTCTTGTAACTAAGTCTACAGGCCGCACTGAGTTACTTTGGGGTGAGGTTCTCCTTGAGAAGATCCAACTGTTCCAGCACCATTGGTTGACAAGGCCATTCCCCCTCCACTAAGTGGCCTGGACATTGTGACACACTGTTCATCTTTTAAAAACTATGTTAAAAATCTGGGTGTCTGGTGCACTCCATAACCCCAGCACCTGGGAGGCTGAATCAAAAGGATTACAAGTTTGAGGCCAATCCAGGCTACATAGTGAGAGACCTTATCTCAATAACCAGCCTTTACCCAACCAAAACACGAAACATTCATGATTTGGAGCCAACTTCTTAGTTGCTGTTCCAGTTTCTCACCTTTGTAGTAAGTACTGTCTTCCATGTATCGGGATAATCCAAAGTCTCCTAATTTCACACAATCATTTGAGGACACGAGAACGTTCCGAGCAGCAATGTCCCTAATAAAAAAGAATATGACAAGCTCAAATACACTATATACAGATGTTCTGGTAGGCATTTTGAAACAGCGTATGTACAGCCTAAAGAGATGTGTTAATTAAAAATATATGCAATTTCACTTTGATATGTATTCCTCCTGGTAGGTATTCACTCAAGAATGGGTTGATAGGACTGAAGAGATGGCTCAGCAGTTAAGAGCACTGGCTGCCCTTGCTGAGGACCTGGGACTGGTCCTGACAACTACTTATAACTTCAGTTCCAGGGGATTGGGAGCTCTTCTCTGGCCTTTATGGGCATCGCATGACATGAGTGAACTTTCATACACCCAAGCAAAACACACGATGCAATGTGTGTGCAAATCAATGCAAAATCAATCAAAAAATTCTTTTTTAAAAAAATATTTATTATTTTTATTTTATGTGTGTGTTATGCCTGCATGTAGGTAAGTGCACCCATGTCCTGCAATGCCCACCGAGGACAGAAGAGGCCGTCGGATCCCCTGGAACTGGAGTTAGGACAGTTGTTAGCTGCCATGTAGGTGCTGGGATTCAAACCTGAGTCTTCTACAAGAACAGTCAGTGTTCTTAATTGCTGAGCCATCTCTCAGCCCCCAATCGAAAAATTTCATTATTTGAGAATACATTTTTGCTATCCTTCATAAGGATTATTAACACAATTTTAAATAATGAAAATGCTTATCATCTTCAAAGAATCCTTTTACTGTTGCATCAGACCGAGAACCAGTGATAAGTGGTAAGGATCAGCAGCTTCAGTATTACTAAGGATTTTCTTAATTAAAAATCTCTGCCAAATGACCAGCCATGGTGACACACACCTTTGATCCCAGCACTTGGGAGGTAGAGGCACGTGGATCTCTGAGTTCCAAGCCAGTATGGTCTACATAGTGAGTTCTGGGTCAGCTGGAGCTACAAGGAGACCCTGTCTCAAAAAGACCAAAAACAAAATCTCTGCCAGTTCAGAACGAGCTCAATGATATGGTTTGCTTCAATGCTGGGTAAGAAGACAATAATGCTAACATCATCCTTAGCAAAGAAATAGTAAGAACTCAAAGAGCTCAGAGCTGCAAACTGCAACAGAAATTCTCAAGAACAAGTGTGACTGGCAATACTGTGGTGTTCTGCAAAGTCCCAGGATGTTCTCCGCTTTGAGAAACACTTCTACACATTCACTCTTCCAGTGCCAACTACCAGCTCTTGATTGTATTTGGGAAAGAAATCTATGTCCTGACAGCCATGACACTTCCCTCAGAAGGCACCATGACTTCTTAATGACCATACAGTGAGTGACTCAAACGGTACAGAAGGTCCACCTACATACAGGTACAGAAAGTCAACGTCTTTTCTTGTTTCTCATTGGTACAGTCTGAGTCTAAACGGCCCCAACAGGCAGATGTGTTAGGACACCTGGTCCCCAGCTCATGGCACTATTTTGGGACCTTGTGGAACCCTTTGGACATGGGGTCTGCCTGGCAGAAGTAGTCACTGGGGGCAGGCCTCTGCAGGCTATAGTTTTAACTTGTTCTAGTATAGTTCCTGATGCCGTAGACAGAGCTTCTTCTACCACCACTGCTGCCCCACGATGGCTGGAATCTCTCCAAACCATGAGCCAGAATGCAGCCTTCAACCCTGAAGTTGCTTCTGTGGGAGCTAGAAAAGCTAAGTGATCCATTCACTCACTGTTCACACCACTCAGAAGACAACACACAGCTCTAAGATTGTCTTACCTGTGGACAAATCTTTTGCTCTCCAGATATGCAAGTGCTGTACTGAGCTGATAGGCATACAGAATCAGGGACGCCAGACCCAGGCTGTGCTTCCTTACTTGCAAAAATGACCTCAGCTTTTGGGATGACAGCCAAGAAAAGAGAAAATTAATCAGTGACAGAGAGAGACATAACAGCACAGAAGATACTCAGTTTTAAGCTATGACTCTTCAATTCTTCCTGGGTAAAATTATGAAAGGTGCAAAATTTCACTAGCAAATGAAAAGTGAATCATTCTTTACTGGAAATTCTATTGTAAAACTAGAATCTTTATGAGTGTAGGTAAATATCTAAAAAGTGCAAAAGATGTCCAGGTGTAGTTGTGCACACCTTTAATCCCAGCACTCAGGAGGAAGATGCAGGTAGACCTCTGTACCAGCCTGGTCTATACAGTGAGGAGCTATAGGGAGACCCTGTTGCAAAGAACCAAAAACTAAAAAATTAAAAAACAACAACAACAGAACAAAAAACAAGGCCGGGCATGGTGGCGCACACCTTTAATCCCAGCACTCAGGAGGCAGAGGCAGGCAGATCTCTGTGAGTTTGAGGCCAGCCTAGTCTACATAGTGAGTTCCAGGACAGCTGGGGCTAAAAAGACCAGAAAAAAACCAAAAACCAAAAAACCCAAACAAAAGATAGCCTCAGAGAAATAAATAAAAATGAAATCATAGTATAAAGCACCACTGAACAGCAATACCTGGAGAACAAGAAGCGTGCACACCGTCTGCCTGCCTCCACCCTGGCCTCACTAAACCTCAAGGAATGTTTGAGGATCAAGACAGGAGGGGAAGAACGACTGGATAGGAGTCTGCCTTTCTCCCTCACTTGGGATGCAGAAGCCTAGAGCAGTCACACTTGGGTGTTCTCTCACTGGGCTAACCTGGCCTATCACTCACCCCATTCATTCAGACAGATGCTAACATGGGAATTTACTAACACTCCAATTCTTAAAAAAAAAAAAAAATTCAACAAATGAAAGAGAAGCATGAAGTATTTTAAGTAATAAATTGTCAAACTCCCTGTGCCGGATGCTTTAGTGTCAACTTGACACACCTGAGTTGAGGGAGCCTCAACTGGGAATTGCCTTCATTGGGCTGGCCTGTGGCCATGTCTGTGGGGCACCTTCTTGACTGCTGAGTGATGTGGGAGGGCCCAGCCCACTGTGGGTGGTGCCACCCCTGGGCAGGTGGGCCTGTGTTGCATAAGAAAGTAGGCTGAGCAGAGGCCAGGGGAGCAAGCCAGTAAGCAGAGTTCCTCCATGGCCTGTGCTCCAGCTCCTGCCTTGAGTTCCTACCTTGGGCTCCCTCAGTGATGAACTGTGACCCGGGATATGTAAGCTCAATAAACCCTTTCCTCCCCAAGCTGGTAGTGGTCAGAGTGTTTTGTCACAGCAATGGAGAACAAACTAGTAGGACACCCCCCAAAAGCAGAGGTGCGAAAAGGAGTGGTAAACCAAACCCACCATCAACCCTCCATCTCATCTGGAATGAGGAGAGAGAAGGGAAAGGGACAAAGAAAAGCAAACACTGGCCACTTCCCTGCCCCTGGAGGTCTGACTCAGCAGCCCAGGCAAGCTGAGGATCTACTTGTCTAACAAACTTCCATCTCACATTCCTCCAGGAAGAGGTGATGGCTGATTAGTCTCTGTTCATGAGAATGACAAATGACCAGTATTACTCACATGTTTCAAAGAAACTGTGACTAACAGCAGTTGGTCTGAAAGAACCTGCAAGTAACTTCTAAAATAGTTAAACTCTATAGAATCCACACTGTTTCTTATGCCCTCAAATCACTGGACTATTCTCCAGGCAAAGGCATCAGAGAGAAGAACCACGTGGGCAGCTACTGCACCTATCCCAGTGCTGGGGAGAGAACTGAGGGAATTTAATGGTGACAATTTTATTTCATTTTATTTTGAAGATGGAGGTCTCACTACGTCTTCAAGACTGGCCTCAAATGAGGAATCCTCCTGAACCTCCCAGTAAGCTTGGACTACAGATGTGTACCACTAGGCCCAGCTCAACGATGAAGTAATTTATAACATTTTCTCTGAATTTTGATTCATAATCCTCAATGAGAACTCTCTTCCCCAACTCAAGCTACAACCTATGTACTTCTGTTATGCAAGAAGGCCACCACACAGCAAGCGCAGCCTAATGGCTATGACGTGCCAGACTGCTGCCAGTCACAGGGGCTGCTTGGGATCTTGATACCTCTCCGAGAGTACACAACTCCATGATTATCCAGACGGGGTTCTCCGTGATGACTCCGATCAGCTTCACAATGTGAGGATGGTCAAACTGACGCATTGTTACTGGGGGAAAAAGTGGTCTCCAATTAATCTTTTGAATTTTTTTAGTTTTTCTAGACTAGATCAATTGACACACACAGGGCTGAAGGCACAGGAATGTTGTGCTCAATGCCACAGGCCAGTCCTGGTTGTATGTGGGTGAAAGCTGGCACCAGAAGGGCCCATGGCACAATATAAAACCGACTCCAGGAAGAGTATAAGGTGACAAGACCGTGAAGAATATCTTCTCCTTCTACAGAAAGAACTGACAAAGGGCCAACTCTCTAGACTGTCCTCTGGAACCTCAATGAAGTAGGATTGTGTGATCCATTTCCTAGGCAACATGCTGTATAAAAAACCATTCTTTTTTTTTGGTCTTTTTGAGACAGGGTTCCCCCGTAGCCCCAGCTGGCCTGGAACTCATGTAGACCAGGCTGGCCTTGATCTCACAGAGATCTGCCTGCCTCTGCCTCCCAAGTGCTGGGATTAAAGGCGTGTGCCACCACACCCAGCTAAAAAAACCACTCTTAATTCATGGGCTGCTAGGGAAATGAGGTGGGATGACACAACAGCCACCTGGAAAGAAGCCAGGGAGGCACTTCCTTGAGTGTGCTGGTGCTCCTTCTGGCCAAGAACCATGCGCAGAGGCTACTACAGGGTCTTGGATCCTGAGCAGACATGGCTCCTCGCCCACTGTAGCCTTCCTCTTTTGCACATAACTGGCTGTTCTGGGGCGGTGAGGCTAACGACCATTTCCCACACAGCTGCGAAGATGTTTGTGCAAGAGAAACACTGGAGTTTTTTCTTTAAGTCTGGCTGTATAATACAGGCCTGTCTGGAGCTTGTGATCCTCCTGCCTGTTTTCTGAGTGCCAGGTTTACAGGTGTGGGCCACTATACCTGCTAATTAATGATTTTATTACCCTCTACTCTGTTTTCCCTCTCTACTGTATCAACAGAAAAATGTTAACTGACATATAAGTGAGCTCCCGTGAAAATCTGAATTCGTTTGGTAACTTTCCCAGGACTTCCCTAAGGATCTTCTGAGGCAGCAGCCAAGTAAAAGGAAGCAGGGTTAATCTGACCTGACTAGGTCTGCAAGTCTGTAACTGATTTCTGTAATGGTGTCCTACAAAATCACAATACGGTCACCGTTAAGAATAATTTTAGGAAAGGAAAAACAAATTTTAAAATATGTGCTTGTAAAGAAAATACAACGTACAAAAATTTCTCCCAAAGTAAAAAAGCAGGGCGCCAGGTCCGAAGAGTTGGTCGGCTGTTCTTTGACCTAGGTACTTGAGAAACATCTAGCTAGACAAAAGCTACTGACTAGGCCTCTTCCTATTCTCTTATACTGAGGAACAGGAGTAAGGATGTGCCCAACAGACAGCGAATTGCTGGGTGGATAGGTGAAGAAGCTACTGAGATGCAAAGTGGAAGGTAGGAAACTCAATGTTCATGTCATGAACAGCACTAAGGTTCGGTCCTGTGACTAACATATGCCGACTGCCTTCGCCAGGCATTTTATGTATTTAATCATGTACTCTTGAGATGAACAGAACAGAGGAAGCAGAGAGTACCAAGGTGAGATATACTTAGGTACAGTGGCCAGAAAAGGGCTGTGCAGGTGACTGTGTGTATGTGTGAGGGATGGGAGGATACATATGCTTGAAGGACAAGGAGGGACAAGCATGAAGGGAGGTAAGGGATCCTACTCCCCACCACTTTCCTTTAAAGAATGCAAAGCTTGGCTTCAGCACACCTATGCCAAGGGGCTGCAGGTGGGGAAATCATTTTTTGGCTAGTCACCTGGGAAGCTGACACAGGAGTTCTCTGCTGGGGTTTCTATTTCTGAAGGATTGGGACCAGTCACTGGCTCACCAGCAGCTCACGAGCTTCATCGGGTCAGTCAGGGCCTATGTTTGCCTTGCTTACCCCTGAATGCACAGGGCCTGGCAGTAGGCAGTGTCTGGGCTGGGCTATTAAATGCACATGCACCAATTTCAGGGCAGAGATGCTGAGAGCCACAAGTAGCAGGGCAGAAAGGGGAGAGTGTCATCTACAGTTACGTGTAAAAAACCCTGACCTGGGAAGTATGCCAAACACAGTGTTTTTCAAGGTGAACAATAAATGTCTCACAAAAGCAAAAACATCTTTTTCTTAAGAGTTTTGGTTTCATATAGAAAGTCAAATGGAGTCCCACAAAATAAGTCTAGAAACTTACAGGCTTCTTGAAGGAATTTCTCTCTCACACTGTCCGAAGTACAATTCTTACATGTTTTAATTGCAACAGCCAAAGCTGGATTCTCCTGTGTAAAGGAAAATACAGAATCACACACACAGACAAAAACGGCTCTCTACATCAGTCAATATACACATCCATGGAAAGCTGTCTATTTGTAACTGTGGGATTCAGAACCAAACAAAAGTGGAACTATAAAATCTAAAAACACAGTTTAAGTAACACTATTCTGTATGAAATCCCTGGAGAGAAAAAAACGAACATCCACGTGAGATGGCAGGCACATCACTTATCACAGCACTGGTGCCGAGTGCATCTGCACCATGAGGGCTACTGCACTGGGTACTAGGTTCTCACCAGTCAACAGGTGCAAGGGTCCCTGCTCTAGGTCAGCTCACATTCCAGTGGAAAACAGCCACGATAAACAGGCATTTCAGAAAGTGTTACAACAGCATTACTGGAGACAGGAAATAGACCACTTTATTTATTTATTTATTTATTTAGTTTTTGGTCTTTTTGAGACGGGATCTCCCCGTAGCCCCAGCTGTCCTGGAACTCACAGAGATCGGCCTGCCTCTACCTCCCAAGTGCTGGGATTAAAGGTGTGCGCCACCACGCCCGGCCCATTTACATTTATTTTATGTGTATGAGTGTTTTGCCTGCTTGTATGTAAGTCCACCCAAGTCACACAATGTCCAAGGAGGTCAGAAGAGGGCATCAGATGCCCTTGGAACTGGAGTTATGGATGGTTGTTAGCTGCCACATGGGTGCTGGGAATGGAACCCAGGTCCTCTGCAAGAGCTCTGAACTATTGAGCCATCCCTCCAGCCCTGAGGATGAAGATATTAGACACAAGGCCAAGGTGGAGCTACTAAGTAGCACAGCCAAAAGAAGAGTGTATGTGGGCTAGTGAGACTACAGCAACACAGCCTGAGGTAGAGAACATGGAGCCAGAGGAACCAGGGATCCAGGCCCAGGGGAGTCTCCCGGGCTAATAAAGACACGGCTTTTACTCCAAGGGAAACTGGAGCTGGGTGCAGCCTGGACGTTTGATTTTGTTTTGGTTTTTGAGACAGGGTCTTCCTGTAGCCCCAACTGGCCTGGAACTCGCTATGGAGACCAAGCTGGCCTTGATCTCACAGATTCACCTTTATGTCTCCTGCTTGGATTAAAGGCATGCATCATTGCACCCAGCCATTGTTGACTTTTGAGACAGGCTCTTACTCTGCAGGCCCAGGGTAGTCTCAAATTAGCGCAATCCTCCTGCCCCAGCCTCTCAGGAGCTAAGATTATAGGTGTCAACCACCACCCCTGACTGAACCTATGGCTCTAGATGGCCCCTTCTGCTGCCGAGATGCTGTGGAGGCGAAGCTGGGCACCGGGAGTTGCGTAGGAGGCTACTGCTCAAGTGGCAGCAATGGTGGCTTGGTCGGAGGGCGGCTGTGGAGGTGGCGAGCAGGGATGTGTGTTTGGATTTGTTCCTACACACATCCTCTTGGTGGGCAATGAGAGAGTGAATTCAGGGTTTTGGTTAGAGAAACTGGAGGAAAAGACCAAAAGCTGGTGATCTCTGAAACACAAGGGAGAAATTGCCGGAGACTTTGAGCAAATCAGGGCTTGGAATGGGTCAGCTAGGGCAGCACAAGCTATTCTATGGGGCTTGATACCATCTCTGCCAGAACCATCCATTATGCTTGCCTTCTGTGACTGAGCAAAAAAGAGGAGGGGAAGAAAGGAGAGTAGGAAGATTTATAAAGGCTCAGCTAAAGCCTAGTCACACCGCAGCCCCAATCACTACTACTAGATTCCTTTCAAAGAAGCTCTCCCCTGCCTCCCTGAAACATATGGATGAATCAGGCAGGCAGAAGTACACCTCATATGTTGCAGTATGATGGGGCTGCGAATCCTTTGGACTCCCGCTACCTCTGTCCTTTCTTGGTAGGGGCTAGGTGGTATCATCAGACAAGTGTGAAGAGAACTGGGCCTTTTGGTTCCCATGGAGCTACATGATCTGTGCTTGATTTCCTTGGCGGGCTAAGCATTTCTGTGCTCATGCAGGCTTCCTCCTGGGCTATGCTATTTTCTTTTGAGAATCAATGAGGGGTGGAGGCCATGCACTCTGAACATGAGTCAACAGAGGCTGGAAGGTGTGGTAGCTGTAGGAGGGGCAGGTGCTTTCCTTCCCTGGCTGCTTTAAGAGTGAATCAGGGCAAAATGCAGTTATCTAAAGCAGCAGGAGCCACTGGCCCCAGCTGGGAGAGAGCTACCACTTGTCACAAGATTTGAAATGGTGCCTGCGTTTTCTTGAGTGCCAAGCTTCTCCGAGAACCTGCAGCTCCACAAAGGTGGTGAGCTAGTTCCCTAAGTATCAGTCACAGTCAGGAAGGACTGGACTTAGGACACCTGCGAAGACAAGCACCTCATGCCTTTTCAGTTTTGGGAAACGCTGATTCAGTCCCAGGACTCCAGTGCTTCGGACATACTGATCCTCACCTGGCACCTCATCCTAACTTCTCTTTGAGCCCAGATTCATATATGAGAACTACTCATTCCCCAAGTTCCACTTGAAGGTGCAAAGTTATTTTTAAGGTAATATGACCAAAACACAACTTGAGATAGCATACTGTAAGAGTGATCTTTTTTCTTTTTAGACAGGGTCTCCCTGTAGCCCCAGCTGGCCTGGAACAAACTATGTAGACCAGGCTGGCCTTGAATTCAGAGATATCCACCTGCTTCTGTTTCCCCCAAGTATTGGGATTAAAGGTATGCACCACCACACCAGGCTGTAAGGGTGAATTTCATGTGCCACTTGATTGGGTCATGAGGTACAGAGATATATGATTCAAAATTTTTCTGAATGTTTCTGAGGTGGTTTTTGGATGAGTTTAATTTCTGGCTGCTTTTGTTTAAAAAAAAAAAAAAAAAAAAAAAAAAAAGAGGCTGCACACTGGGCGTGGTGGCGCACGCCTTTAATCCCAGCACTTGGGAGGCAGAGGCAGGCGGATCTTTGTGAGTTCAAGGCCAGCCTGGTCTACATAGTGAGTTCTAGGACAGCTGGGACTACAGGGAGACCCTGTCTCAAAAACACCAAAAACAAACAAACAACTAAATAAATAAAGGCTGCATATAGCCAGGCATGGTGGCACACACCTTTAATCCCAGCACTCAAGAGGGAGAGGCAGGTACTCTCTGTGAATTTAAGGCCAGCCTGGTCTATGTCTCTGTGAGTTCCAGGCCAGCTAGAGCTACAGGGGAGACCTTATCTCAAAAAGACCAAAAAAAAAAAAAAAAAAAAAAGCTGTGCTTGACCCTACAACCCTCTTGCCAGGCCTCCTGAGTGCTGGCAGCACAGGCGTGTACCTCTATACCTGATTCACAAATGAACTGCCATCCAACTTGGTGGACTGCTCTCTCAAGTGGGTGGGCACACCACCAAGACTCCCACAGGGAGGTGGGAACTAAGGGTCTATGGAACACCATCACTGGAGCTCCTGAAGCAGGGATACGGAGTTAGTTACTTGTGCCACTATGACTTTATCATAGCCATACCTCTGCACCTCACAGCATTTTCATTTTTAAAAAAGTTTCTTGAGCTGGGTATAGCGGCACACGCTTTTAATCCCAGCACTTGGAAAGCAGAGACAGGCAGATCTCTGTGAGTTTGAGGCCATACGGTCTATGTAGAGAGTTCCAGGTGAGCTAAGGCTACAGGGAGACTCTGTCTCAAAAAACAAAAGACAAAGCCCAGAAGGTTCCTGGACAAGTATACAGTGTACTTCTGAAAATCATCAATCTAGAAAGAAAAAAGACATTCAATAACAGGCCCTGGAGAAGATATGGAGGTATTGGCCAGCAGGCGTGGGAAATGGAGAGTGCCTTGAAAAACTGTTTGGCAACTTGTCAAAAAGTTAAACATAGCTACCGTATTAGGAAGTTACACACATCAGTGCTCGTGACAGCATTTTAATAACCAGGAAATGAAAAGATACTAGATGTTCAACAAGTAAAGAATGGGTAAATAAAAGGTTATGGTGCATGTGTGCAAAGGACAATCATATGGTGATGAAAAGCAAGACTGCATGTGACATACTTCCACTCCCATGAAGTACCCACAATAGGTAGACAAAGAGAAAGGGGACCAGCAGTGGCCAGAGACTGGAAAGGGAGGTGGAAGCAGGACTGGAACCACTGGTGGGTGTTGTGATGGATGGCTTCAGTGAGCAATGACAGAGCTGGGAAAAGGGATTCTCAATTGGGGAACTTCCTAGGTCAGACTGACCTGTGGCCATGTCTGTGAGGCATTTTCTTGATGGTTGAGTGATATGGGAAGGCCCAGCCCACTGTGGGCCACATCAACTCTGCACAGGTGGTCCTAGGTTGAATAAGAAAGCAGCTGAACACAGGCCAGGGAGCAAGCCAGGAAGCAGCACTCCTCCAGGGTCTGTGCTTCAGCTCCTGCCTGCAAGTTCCTACTCTGGCTTCTCTTGATGATGGACTATGAGCCATAAGCCAAATCATTTTCTCTCCAAGTTGTTTTTGGTCAGTATTTTATCAGAACAGAAGAGAAGCTAATTAGAACAGGTATCAATTTTTTAGGTAAAATAAAGGTTCTAACCAGGTGTACTGGCACACACCTTTAATCTCATCACTCAGGAGGCAGAAGCAGGTGGAGCTCTGTGAGTTCAAGGCCAACCTGGTCTACATAATTTGTTCCAGACTAGCTGAGGCTACAGGGAGACCCTGCCTCAAAAAGCCAAAAGAGCCAAAAAGCCAAAAAAAAAAAAGTGTTCTAAACTTGATGACAGTAAGAACCACACAATTCTGAAAATATACAAATTTACCTATTTAGAGGGTCAATCACAGCCTGTCTTGTCTTAAGAAACACAGCGCACAGGAGTGATGATCTGACCTGGACTATCACTTGCAGAGTACACTGATGATGACACAGGCCAAATAAGCAGGGAGTGAAGGTAGACCTGCTCCTGCGCTGACTTCATTTTTGACAAATATTTCTGCACTTATCAACCAAGTGGATATGTACAGTGAGCTTCAAAAGAGGTAAGTGCAAATACCTAGAAAACTACTAAGGACTCAGGAAATCAAGAGGTAATATACATTCAGCAGTGCAAATACAGCACAGGTTTTGTTAGTCTGCAAGACTTACTGGGCTCAGATACACGCCTTGATGTACATCTCCAAACTGGCCTTCTCCAATACAGCGTCCAAGCTCTATTCTTTCTCTTTGAATTTCATAATCCCTGGCTGCAAAACATGATCCACACATGAATAAATGTGTGCAATGTTCCAAATGTGGAAATAACACAATACACGTTTTATTTCAGTACCATCCATCAATAAAAATTTCGTCTGTAGCATATCAACACATAAAAGTTCTGAGAAGAGTGGAATTCTCTTAAACATAAATTATCTGCAGAAGAACGTCTGCATCAATCAATCATGGTTTTGGCTGAAACACCAGACAATGAGTTCCACTAAGGACAGTTTTTTTTCCCCATACTCTTTGAATCTCTGATTTTTAAATAATTGCTCAAAGTATTAAGTTATATGCATAATTAATAATCACTATTGGTTTAGGTATTAATATATGAAGGCTATAAAAAGCTATTTAAAGCAATTATTTTATAGTAACTAAGGTTTGTTAAGTATGGAAACATTAAACTGTGTCACAAGTAAGCTTTATGTTGTAAAAGTTTAAGAGTTTTCCACATCATTATAATCCTACCTCTAGATTATTTATGGAGCTAAAAGAGTTTTAAAGAGGTAGTTTCCAAAAATGAATTTCAAAATCAGGTGACTGAGAATCAAGGCTGAATACAACAGTATACAGATTTGAGAGTATATACTTCCAATTAATACATTAAATTTTGAGTTACAGGAAGTTACTCAGTAGGCTGCTGATGTACATGGATTTTTAAATGGATTTATAAAACATCCAGTAGTTACACAGAAAATTGAAATTCTAATTTAATTAGCTACTTGGATTTATTTCAAGTGTGAAAATGCCTTCACCAAGTGCTCCATTGGTGGCACCAGCAGCAGGACCGTAAGGATTTAAAAACGTCCCCCAGGTCATCCCATAAAGCCAGGCATCATCCAACCCAAACTTTAGGCAGCTATTTTCCTCTTTAAAATCACTTTAGCTAGTAATCACTGATTTAACAGTATGAGTACCCAACAGCAAAGTTTAAAAGTAAGTTAACTGAAAACGGAAACACCCGTATCGTTCCATGGTGGAAATTGCAAGCAAATGCAGTTATGTCAAAGGACCCTGTTACCTTCGTCTATTCCATAGCTCTCTGTATTGCAATTAAGAGAGAAAAAAAATTGAAGACCTTGCTTAGAAGTGACTAATGACAACCAGGTTAACAACAGCAAACTTGGAGCAGACATTTCAATCCTAGTTACTTATTTCAAGAACAAATGAATAAAAATAAGAAACAAGACATGTAAAATCTAAACATCCATGAGTTAATGCAAAGGTACTTAAGCAATGCCTTAAATCCGCATTTCATACATCACTACTTTAAACTCATTCTTGTGAGGTTTGGATAAAAGACATCTACGTTAGACATTTACCACTCAACTACGAATAAATCATACGCAAATGGGGCTTCTCTGCAGAAACAGAAAAATGACCAAACAGCTAGCCGAAAAGGTAAATGTAAACCAAAGCAATTCTCTGAGGTGCTCCTAGGAGTCCACGCCTATATGTAGGCACCTCAGCTCCTGCCTACAGCCCCACCACCCTAATGACAAAGGCAGGTGGGCACATTCAGGAAACGCCAGACTCAGAAGCCTGGCTATTTTCCTTTTATTTTGGCAGTATCGCCTCAATGCACACAGAAAAGCCAAATACTTCTGAAAGACTATACAGTAAAGAGTAAATAACCTCGTTAGCTCTTAAAATATATAAAGTCACACCATTTTGATTTCTAGTTAATTTCTAAGGTTTCTGGAGCCCAAGAGGCAGAGTCGAATTATTTATTTAGTATAATAAAATGAGAATTCAGGGCTTACTGGGCTTATCCCAGTCAAGAAATGGGTGTGGTGGCACATGCCTTTAAGAGCAGCTCTCCGAGAGGCAGGAGCAGGCAGGTTTTTATGAGACCAAGGCCAGCCTGATCTACACTGTGAGGGCCAGGACAGTCCGAACTACACAGCGAGACCCTGCCTCAAAAAAGGAAAGAAAGGGGGACAATACATTCCAAGGCATGGTGTACAGAGCTTCCTCCACCAATAAGTTGCACAGTTGCCCTGGAGAAGAGACGCTGATACATCCAAGCTGGAAGAAGGCCATCCAAGGTTCTGTTGTCCCCCCACCCCACCCCCGAGCTCCTCCTAGGCTGCTGTGTGGACTGAGGCTTTACATTCTGGAAACAACAGCAACAAGGAACAATTTCAAAGGGAAAATGCAGCAAACAATGTGCACATGCATTTAAACGTAAAGCGGTACTGATTTTCTACAGAGGGAAAGTAACCAGTGAAGGATCTGTTAACACAGAGCCAGCAAATGAGATAAAAAACCCTATAGCTGAACTGAATTACTTCAAATATTTGTGTTTCAGGTTTCTGACTAAAGTGAACACACAGAGAATTTCACCTAAAGGTTGAATGAACATGTCTGTTCAGCACCCAAGTGACAGGAAAGTATCTAGCTCTTCACTGAGGAGCAGTCTACTCACTTGAGGGCATGGTGTATGTGTCTTCCTCATCGATGATCTCCGCATAGTCGTCCGTCTCTGTTTAAAAGGAAACAGGTTGGAGAGCTCAGGTGCTGGACTGCTTGGCCATCAATATAATTTCAAAAAGCAAAATAATTTGCCTAAAATCCACATGGTATAAATATCCTCAAAATACTAGTGCTCAGATTTGGCTCCTATGATTAATTTATGGAGAGAAAAGTGACATCAAGGCCCAATTTGTCATCACACATGCAAGCAGACCAGATCAGACAGGCTAACACAGAGAGTCCGTGTGAAAACTAGAAAGACGTGAAGTAAAATACTATAACCTGCTGACCACAAAGCTTTTCCTTGACCTACAAAACACATTAGGTACCATCCTGCAGCTGCCAGGGTTCCCAAACAGATGGGCATCTAGCCCCCAAGCCCAGTGCACCCTAACCATCAGATGGGCATCTAGCCCCCAAGCCTGGTGCACCCTAACCATCAGATGGGCATCTAGCCCCCAAGCCCAGTGCACCCTAACCATCAGTGGACACACCTGACAGCATAGCTGCACAGTGAAGACCCAATCTCTGAGGAGACTGAACTAGGCTGATTTAATTGTTCAGGGTAAAAATACAATCCAGGAATGTATCTTACGGTCCTTTTTCACTCAGGCAAAAGATCTGACAAAACAAACAGCATGTAAAAATGAGTTAAAAAAACAACAACAACAACACACACAACTCCAGGACTTGGGTGTTTTCGCTCCTTTTAGCAACGCAGCAACTTCAAACCTGCCATGCTATCAGTGGAAAAGTTAAAAAAAAAAAAAAAGGAATGTGATAGGGCTGGAGCGATGGCTCAGCAGTTAAGAGCACTGGCTGCTCTTGCAGAGAACCTGGTTTGATTTCCAGCACCCACATGATGACTAACAGTTGTCTTTAACTCCAATTCCAGGGGATCCAATGCCCTCTTCTGACCTCTGAGGGTACTGCACAACATGGGTACACTTACACACATGCAAACACTCATATACATAAAATAAAAAATTAAAAAGTAGTCATGTAAACATCACCAATGTCGAAAAAGTCTCATCCATTCTGTTCTACTTTCTGGAAAAAGACTTCCCTGCTGGCCATTCCTAGGGGCCAAAGAGGACCTGCCATGTCCCTGATAAAACCCTGGGAGAGCACGGCCTGAGCTCTGCACAGGTCTAGGAAGTTGCGAGTGCTTTCTCCTACAGCACCAATGCTATTAAAAGCACAGAAGCCAATAAAACTGGAGAAGGCCCTTTACATGGGCTAGGGTGTCAATCACTGCGCATCCTGCTGTGGCATTATCACTTAGATCAAAACTCCAACTAGGGGCTGGAGAGACGGTTCAGAGGTTAAAGAGTACTGGCTGCTCTTGCAGAGGACCAGGGTTTGGTTCTCAGCACCCACACGGTGACTAACAACTGCCCGTAACTCCAGCTTCAGGGGAATACAACACCCTCTTCTGACTTCTGTAGGCATCGCATGACATAAGTACACTCACATACATGTAGGCAATACACTCATATACATGAAATAAAAAATAATATTTTTAAAAACTCCAACAAGAGTCCAGGTTGTGGTTTTTTTTTAAAGTCTTTTTTTTTTAAGTCTTTTTTAGAGACAAGGTTTCCCTGTAGCTCCAGCTGGCCTGGAACTTACTATGTAGACCAGGCTGGCCTTGCACTCAAGAGATCCACCTGCCTCTGCCTTCGGAGTGCTTGGATTAAAGGCGTGCGCCACCACGCCCAGCGAAGAGTCCAGTTTTTAATGTGTAATCAGCATCAGAAGTGATTTAAAAAAAAATAGGTCTGCTTGGCCAAACAGCATCAATAAATCAACTCCTAGATGACAGACAGATGGATGCTCTATACTGTTCTTACATGTTTAAAACACTGCTTTTAGGATTAAAGATAAGTTTTAATGCACCTGAAACCTGACCTTCTCCTAGCTCCCCATTTCTACCTCTTATGTTCTCACTGAACACTGAGCACAGTGCACTGGCACCCAGCAGGCCTGCAGTTTTGCTCTTGGGTTACCTCAAGGAAGACAATGGAGGGCAACAGGGCTGCTCAAGGCACCTTAACACCAAGCCTAGGCATGGAGGCGTCTACTCCAACGGCTGAGACTATGAAGATGTCACGTCGTAGGTGGGTGTCTGCAAACTGTCGTCTGTTCTGTAATGAGGTGGACCCCTTTTCACCACACTGCCCTAGCAACTGAATGCAACCAAGGCCACTGCAGCACAGCGGTAAGGGCCGCAGGAGACCACAGTGAGTCTGCCCAAAGCTAACCCTCTCAGGCAACGGGATTCTACTGTCTCAATGGAGACGGCAGAAAGCAGAAGACAGCAGCAATGGCAGTGACCTTGTGCTGTTAATCTTCTGTCAACACAAACGAGACTCCTGGGAAGAGAAAACCTCAACTCAGGAATTTCCTCCATTGGATTGGTCTGTGGCAGTGTCTGTGAGGCATTTTCTTAATTGCTGATTGACGGAGGAGGGCCCAGCCCACCGGAGCAGTGCCACCCCTGGACAGGTGGGAGCAAGCTGGTAAGTAGTGTTCTGCCATGGTCTCTGCTTCAGCCTGTCTCTCTGGGCTCCTGTCCTGCCTTCCCTCAAGGATGGAGTGTAACGTCTAAGCCAAAATAAACCCTTTCTTACCCCAAGTTGGTTTTGGTCAGTGTTGTAGCACAGCAACAGAAACCAAACTACAAGGCTCAACTGAGCCTTACCGCGTCCTAAAGTTCATGTGTGCACAGAGACTTTCGGGTTTGTGCCACTGTGTCTCAGTTCAGAGCCCTCCTCAAACAATTCTGTCCCCATTCCTACAGTTCTTAACCACTTCCCTGATATCCTCCTCTTACTGCCTTTAACTACCTCATACTAATCTGCTTCTTTGATACCTGTCTGTCTACCTCTCCAGAACCCAAAGTCCACACTACAGCAGAACCCCCAGGTATCTTGTCAATGTCCTCAGCATTTAGAGCAGCGCCTGGTGCAGAGCAGGAGTTAAGGAGGTGGGTGCCGAACAATCAGGCTGAATAGGTGGTAACACCACAGGAAACACCACAGTGGATTCCCAGGAACTAAGAAGACTGTGCAAGGCTGCAGGCAGGAAGCAGCAGGGCAGGCTGCACCTGGGACAAGGCACATGTGACCTGTGGGGCATCAGTTTACCTGCCTATGCTGCAGGTACGTCTTCCTTCATTCAACAGAGCAGCACCTGTGGGGTTAGAGCTGGAGTTCCTGTCTGCTCCGATCACTCAGAGTTTGACTCAAATGTCTCCAGGACTGTCTCATAAAACTCCCAAGAGAGACACCAATCCCTGAAATAATTCCAAAGCAAGTGGCTTATACGCAACAGATAAGCACCAACTTGGATTTGGGAAAATAATAGCGCCTACATTTCAATTAACTCACAAAATCACAGGAAGGGATCTGCATGCCAGGCAAGGTGGCTTACTCGTGATGTCATAGTATTCTGGAGGTGGAAGCAGGAGGCTCAACCATGAGTGTGAGGCCATTCTGAGCTAGACACTGAAACCCAAGAAAAAAAAAGTGCTTGTACACTTTCTAAAAAGTTATACATGTTCTATATGAAGTAGACAGGTTGTCAAAGCTCTCTTCCAGTACTTTTCAGAGGGGTTTACACAGAGAAGAGCTATACTGTGGAAAGTACACAGACCAGGGAAGGTCTGTACCACTATGCTTACAAGTTTCAAGTAGTGATTCTGGGCACAGTTCTCTAAAAACTCTTTGCTACTGACTTGATTATATTTTGCTTGTCTTTCCTACCTTTAGGGATTTGTAGGTCAGTACGACATGGGGATCGAGGATGAGCTGCATATTCGAGGTCCCTGGAACACTGCAGATGCCACCTCAAAACCATCCCTAAACAATGCTATCATAGGAGGAAAATTAAGGGAGAAAGGAAATGGCTCAGAGATCTGAGCACAAACAACAGAACCTGGATCTACTTTCTCCATTTGATGGGGATCAGGACAGCATGACTTCATCAGTCCTCAGCAGAATTCAGAGGGGGTAGAAGCTGAAAACCTGAGGCGGGTAGGTCTCACAAAGCTCTGCAACAGAGCCTAGGCTTTGAGGTACCACACACAGTCTTTCTGTCTTTCACAAAATGCATGGAAGGTTTATTTGTGAGACCAGGCAGCCCTTTGCTTTGAGGGTATCAAAGTTATATATTTGGGTCACCATTTTTGTCCAGGGACTTTCACAGAAAAGCTGGTAAAGACTTGTGCACCTGGGAGACCATTTGAGGATGCTGGACCTGTCAGGTGTAGGGGTGCATATCCCTGTACCACAGCTTCTTCAGAAAGCAGAAGTGGCAGGAGCATCTGGGCCCAGGAGTTTGAGGCCAAGGTGGGCAGAGCAAGGCCTTGTCTCAAAAATAAACAAATATATAAACTTTCAAGAGGGTTGGCTGGGGAAGTGAATCAGTTGTCTGTCTAGCATGTAAAAAGTCCCGATTTTGGTCCCTAGCACCACATAACATTGGGCATGGTGGCACATGTCTATAACCCCAGCACTCAGGAAAGGAAGGCAGAATTACAGGTTCAAGGTTTTCCTTGTTACACAGCAAGCTGGCATCCGGCCTGGGCTACATAAGACCCTGTCTCAAAAATAAAATTTAAATTGGAAATGTTAAAAAATTATTAAAAGGGAAATTTCTAAATTGGGGGTTGACATTTTAATTTGTGTGGTACTGTATCAAAGTATGTGGCTAAATTATAAAGCTGGGAAGACCTATTAAAATGGAAGAAGCTCATAGCTCAGAAGACAGGAAAGTTACTACAGTCTCATGTTACAGTGATGCAAAGAGACAAAGCCACTCCTGAAACTGTCAACATGAGTATGGCATTAGAGGCTCACTGTCACATAAAGGGCCGATAGAGCCACATGAAATGGCTGGTTTGGCATCCGTGGGGGATGCATTGAGGGAGCATGGGTACTGTCCCTTGTCTATGAAGAAAAGCCTAAGGTTCCTAAGTTCCCTGGGGACTGAAAACCTGTGTAATTCCCTGTACAGGTCTGTCTCCACACCTCTTCCTTGCCCTCCGATGGCATGTATGCTGCTGTGGGCTAGTACCAGCAACTTAGCCGGCTTCCCTGTTGCCCCTGCCCCGTGGGAGGTGCCTAACAGAGCTGGTGCCTGCATGTGTGTGCCTGTGTATGCGCTCTAGAAGTATGCAAGCACCAATATTGCTACAGTGGCTGGATTACTTAAAAACAGCTCCGGAGGACTAACCAGTTCAGGGTCTTATCTCATCTGGGTTAACAGATGTCATGACCTGTAGAAGCCATTACAGTGAAAAGGGTCTTTTCCGGGAGCCACGACAAGACAAGCCCACTTTACTCTGCAGTCTTAACTAGTTATGTCACCAAGACGAGGGAGGAACTGGCACGCTTTTTAAATATTTTAAGACTGTGCTTCTTCTGTGACAGGGACTCAGCACTGCAGTTCAAATCGTAGTTCCATGTGGCCAGGTACTATGCCAACAAGAAGTTGTGGCTGTTCTCCAACAGAACTTTATTTACAGACCCTGAAGTTTGATTGTCACATAACTCTGATATCATGAATGCCAGTTTTCTGTTCAGTATTTCCCCCTCACCCATTAAAAACATAAGAAACACTGCTACCTCAAAGGATAGTGTGAGGAGAGGTGGAACGTAAGATCTGGAGTCCTGACCAAGGCCACAGTTGTGCTATTCCCTGGTGAGCTGGGGCACAGCCTTGCCCTGGCTGACTCAGCAGAGGAGGAACATACTGTGAATGCCTGCATTCCACCTATCTGTAGTCACATCACTTGAATTTGTGCTTCCCAGTAATCCTCAGGATGACCACAGGGGGCGTTTCCCAGGGAGGGGGTGGGGTGAGCAAGATGCTGAAGTCACTTCCCAGTCAGCTGGTGACAAGGTGAGGCAGTGGAGGAGGCCGGGACTGGAGTCCAAGCCGACCCCTCTCTGGGAACTGTGCTGCCAATCGGTGCCCTGGAGGACCACTATGAGTGGCGAGGCAGAGGGGAAGGTGCCTGCGCAGAAGGCTCCTGGAGGGCAGCGGCTGCTCGTTCTCTTTCAGAGTGGCCTGGACCCAAGCTCCAATCTGCTTTGAATCCAGGAAGTGCAAGGCCTTCTCTGGAGCCACACCCCAGCTTTGCTCCCTCTCGAAGGCTGTCTCAAATGTGTATGCGCAGTCTCCACTTGCCTCACTCTCAAGGAAAGGGCAAGGCCGCTCCGTTCCACTTACAGAGCTTGTTCCTCTACTATACAGACGCATCGAGTCTCATGCAGGCACTGCACCACAGCAGAGAGAAACATGACACCGAGGCAATTTTAACATTTATGTCGGATGTGAGGAAACAGCCGTCACCATTCCTGCTGATACTTCCCTAACGACCTCAGCTGTGTGACTCTTAAAATCACTGTTACCTTTTCATCAACTGTTATCATACATGCACCACACAATTATCTCACAGCAGTAACACAAACATGAAAATGAGTATTACCGTCCCCACTAATTTCATCTGCAGATCCAGGTGGCATGCAAAGAAAGGAGAAGTAGGGACAGCGGGGGAGAGACAGGAAGGAGAGGAGGGAGAGAGGGAGACACCATTAAAATGACAAGAAAAATCAAAGGGTAAGAAAACAACAAAACCACCCCAAGGCTTCATTCACAAGGTAACAAAAATCATACTAGTGTGCTTACTTGAACTGGAGGCTCTAGTGCTTTTTAGGTTATCAACATATCACACACAGTTACATAGGAGTACTGCAGAGTTTAATTAGTTCATACCACACTAGGCAAAGTAATTTGATTGCCTTTCATGGTTACATGTTAAATAGAACTTCTACAATTTGTATCCTCTTAGATAAAAACAACACACTAGTCCTTACTATATATGTTAAATGGTAATCAGGGAGTGCCTACAACATGCCTATTCCCACACTGCAGATGCGGGTCATGCGCACACTATCTGTGGCAAAGCTTAAAGCTCTGATGACAAGTCAGACACCAGTTGAAATTTGTACAAAACAATGCCAGGCATGATGGTGCACACCTTTAATCTCAGTGCAGAAACAGAGGCAGGTGGATCTCTTTGAGATCAAGGCTAGCCTGGTCAACTTAGTTGCAGGCCAGCTGGGTCTACAGGAGACCCGATCTCAAAAAAGATACAAAGAAAACAATAAAACACAGCTCAAAACAACTCTTTTGAGAAATTTTTGAAAAGTTGCTTTAGTAATTATAAAATTCACTTTCCTAGAAAACCCTCCAAATGGCACAGCTGCCTCATCTATGCAGTGTTCCTGAGCATCTGCCCTGGAGCATAGTGTGCAGACATCTAGGCTGCATACTGACCACGTCCCTCACTCAGTTGCATGCTGTATTAGGAAATCCACAAGGCCAGAAATGGGGTCTTGTCAACCCCTGTAGGAAAACAGACACGGGAAGTGACACCAGGAAGCTGCTTCTTGCCCTGTCATGCATTTAAAAACCAGCAGGGACAACAAAACATTTTCTAGTTAAGAGAGCAGCCAAAGATTGCCAGACACAAAGCCTGCCCCTAGTTACCACTTCTAGACAATGGAGAGCACGTAACTGAAATACAGTAGGTCTATGGGCTGCTCGGGGTAATCTAAAAGCAGCGGGCTAGAGTTAGCTTTGTGGGGAGCCTTGGTTAACGGGAGAGCCAGTGCGGTTCAGTGTGGTGCAGTGCAGTACCGGTTGGAGGAAGTTCAAGAGAACAGAAGACCAAGGGGAGAAAGCGCCTAGCTTTCTTAACTTTATGTTGGCAGTGACTGACTCCTTTACAAAGAGGCAAGAAGAAAAAGAGAAAAACAGAAACAAATTATTTCAATACAAAACACAACCAGTTAAATTTTAAGGCACATCTATTAAAAAAAATACAAAATGAAAATGCTTCTATTGAACCATTGGTATATCTTACTTCTTACTATGACTGTTTTGAGGTTTAAAAATAATCCTGTTTTAACAAAGATTAGCATCAGATATTGCAAGAACAAATGATAAGACTCTACCAGCTCTACAGAGACATCAAATAAGTAACAGAGTCAAAACAAAAGGGAAAACAGTAAAAACCAAAGACCGATACATAATTTAAGGATCAAGAACATTCTATGCTTTTGTGAACACTTAACATTTAACCATAAAGAAAACATTTTCAGAAAACCAGAGATCTTGACTACAAAAGAGCTTTATGACAATCTGGCCCAATCATCAGTGAAGACGCTGATGCTGATTTGGAGTATCTTAACATGAAGACTGGGGATGAGGACGGCTGAGTACACAGGCTGCAGGACTGGCACATCTCTCCACTCACTTGCCCATCCATGCGCTTAAAACTCACTTTACAGGACGGCAATGGCAGCAGGGGACACACACCAGAGTGAAGTCCGAGCAGGGGCCTTTCTGATGGAGCACACTCAGTGTGACCAACACAGGTGGTTCCCAGGCACAAGGTACCATCAATGATAGCCCTGATCTGAAGTATGGGCCCATGGAAGACCAAGGTCCAGACTGCTTGGCTGCAAAGGCAACAATCTCACCAACGACATCCCAGTTCAGCACTGCCCCTGAGCAAGGGTGACATGCAAACCCATGAAGCATTCTGTATTTTACAAAAGAAATGACAGAAACGGAAGCATAACATTAGCAATATTTTCAAATGGCATGTTTTGATCTCGATGACATTTGTACACGGATTCACCTTGCTGCTTGATCTGAAGCCACTTTATTCCATACTCCTAGGTTTCCTACCTCCTGTAGCCCCAGCTGTCCTGGAACTCACTATGTAGGCCAGATTGACCTCGAACTCACAGAGATCTGTCTGCCTCTGCCTCCCAAGTGCTGGGACTAAAGGTGTGTGCCACCATGCCTGGCTAGAGTATATTTTTAAAGAGGTGATATTCTCTACTTTGAATTAAAGGAAAGCAATTAAAATTATAAGCAAACCTTTCCTAAGTAATAAGATTAACCTGTGCCATAAAAAGGAAAGTAAAAGGTTATTAGAATTCTCAAGTTATAAAAGATGATCACTCCCATCACATTTTTTTGAACACCTACCACAAGTTACGCATACCATGTAGGTGGTAAAGTAACAGTGTTGAGCAAAATAGAGCCTTGGACTCTAATCTATTGAGTTCAGGTCTCTGCGTGAGAGAAAGTAAGAGAATTCCAGGGCAGATCCATGTGCTGTGGGGACAAATAGCATAAAGAGTAGGGCACATGTTCCTGTGGGTCTGAAACTGTAACCAGAGCAATCATGCACGGAGATCCCAGAGAGCCAGCAGATATGCCCATACTTGGTGGGGCTGGCACAGGTGGGGCACACAGCAGGCATGCAGAGGTCATGAGGGCGTTGGCATGGAACAGCAAAGGCACACACAGAAGCAGCTGAAGGACTGGGAGGGCATGGGAGGCAGTGGTCAGAGAGGAAGCAGGGCCAGAGTGGAGACGTCATGGCTCACATGCGGGCTCTGCCTTTCACTCTGAGTGACATGTGGAGAGAATAGTGCTGAGGCCTTCATCACAAGTTGTCCCACACTACAGGCTTCCTGGGAGCTGCCAGCCAGAGCAAGTAGCACAGCAATAACCAAGGAGGAGAGGGAGGAGAAGGGGGCAAGTGAACAGGGGCAGTATGGGAGGTGGACTGTGACAGTGCCTGGAAGGTGGGCCCATTAGGATCTGCAATGCACCGGACTGAGGAGAGGCAGTGCAGGACAGACGGAGGAAAGCCACTGAGGGAATGGAGGAGGCAGAGGAACAGGCCTGGTGTGGGCGCCAGGAATCAGCTCCAATGTTAGGTATGAGGGGCTTACTGGACTTTTAAGAGCAAGTGAGCAAGCAAAGGCTACCAGACCGAGTCCAGGCTTAAGAGAGCAGTTTGAGAGGCACCAGCTTAATTAAGCTACAAATACAAAGATTCCCCAGGGAAAGTACTGAGACTGACAGGACCTGGCCCCAAAGACTCAACCCTGGCTTCTCAGCATGAAGCGTGAGTGAGGCAGAGAGTGTGGCGTCCAGAGGCCAAGAAGCTCTGAGCAGCAGGCCCTCAGGACCCAAATCCTGCTGGGTAGGGCCAGGAGAACAGAGGGGTTTGGGTGGGAAGCCACACTGGCTTAGTTTCATTTCGGTTGATGTGATAAAACACTGCAGAATTCAACGTAGGAGAGAACGAGCTTATTTCAGCTCACAACTCCAGGTCACAGCCCTCACTGCAGGAAGTCCAGGCAGGAACGAGAAGCAGCAGGTCACTGTTCAGTCAGCACAGAGAGGAATACAGGCACACACACTGCTCAATTCGCTGGTTCTGTTCTCGTACAATTCAGGACCCAAACCCAGGGAATGGTGCTGCACAAACCCATTTTAATGACTGCAACTGAAACAATCCTTCCTACACATGCCACAGGCCAAACTGATCTAGACAATCCCTTATAGGAGACTTTTCCCGAGACTGTGTCAACTTAACAACTAACATTAGCCACCTTACAAACCATGTCAACTACTGATGGCAAAGACCTAGCAGGCAAATAGATAACCAGAGATAGGGCTGGGCTGCTGGCTAGTGAGCGTGAACAGGCAGAAATCAGGGATTAAGATGCCAAAGGCAGGGGGAGACGGTGCAGGCACCTGTACAAGTTCACTTATGATTATAAATTTTCCCAACAAGTTTTTGGCTTGGTGTAAAGATGGAAGAGAAGGTGTTTAAGGCTGAGGAAGGGAGGGTCTGGAGCAGCTCCAAGAGAGGAGCTGACAGGCCCTCCTAGTGAGGAGTCAAGAGTCATGAGACCAAAGCTGTGCAGCTATTTTAGATGTCAAGGTCCCATGATGCAGAGGACATGGAACAAAGGAGCTAGACACAGTTCTGGAAAGTGCAAAGAAAGCTGAACAAGGCAGGGGAGAAGACAGATAGCACAAGTCAGGGAGGAACGCCATCACCCAGCAGGGCCTTGAGACTTTCTAAAGAAGTCGATGAGGGTGCCAGAGGTGTGACACAGGACAACATGGTGACAAGCCCAAAGAGATGGGCAGCCTGGTGGGGTCAAAGGGTTGTTGAGGTGGGCAATGACGGAATAAGCAAGGAACACAGGAGGTGAAAGAGTTTTCTTAGAGGCGAAACTGTGACAGGACTAGTTACGGTGCTAGCACCACAGCTGTGCAGAGCTCGGAGAAATGGGGTAGTGTCACTAGGTGGACTCTAGACAACAAACGCCGAGATCTTCCCAAACAAGTGTAGGGGCCTAGAGCCCACAGCAAGCAGTCGCTCAGAACTCTGAGGACCAGGCAATGTTGAGTGGCCGACAACGAGAAGGAAGAACACCCCTCACCTCCAGCGCCGGGGCTGCAGGAGCACAAGGGGCCCTGTCACCCTTGGGTGAAAGCTATTAGCAAGTTCAAAAAAGGGGTCAAGGACAGATGAGCCCTGGGGGGTACTCAGGTAAAGAGTGGGAAGAGCTAGGCAAGAACAGGGCACAGACACAGAAAAGTGGATGTAGGGGCGGTGGCCTGACAAAAGCAGCAGGAGAGGGTTTACTTTGGATCACAGCCCATTGTGGAGGCAGACATGGCTAGAATAGCACCATCTCTGGCCACAGGAGTCTGAGGCAGCCAGTCACATGGCATCCATTGTCAGGAAGCAGAGGGAAGTACTGGAGCTCAGCTCAGTTTCTTTTATTCACTCAGGGATTTAATCCATGAGATGGAGCCACCCATTCAGGGCAGGGATTTCCACCCCCGCCCCGCAGTTAAACCTCTGTGAAAATGCCCTCACGGACACGGACACGCTCATGGGAATATGGGGAAAGGGGCTCTGCAGGAACAAGAGGTGGCAGGGGTCAAAGGCAGAGCAAGGTTAGTCTAAGAGGATCAGTACTTACCTCGGACCACACCGCTCAATTCTGCACCTCCCTCCGCAAGCTAGCTCTGTGCTCTGGAAACACAGTCTCCCCAGCAAACTGTCTAATCTGGGGAGGGAACAGATGGGATCGCACCTCTCACCAACACTTAGTTTTAAAAGGACTGTCCCAAAGATCAAAAACATCTGGATAGCAAGGTGAAGAACAGCTTGTAGAACAGCTCTTTCCCTGGGAAGTAGTCCTAGGCTGACATGGAAGCTACCTCAGCAGTTAGCAGTGTTGCTCCACAATTCTGATGGAGTTCCTGCCCCGACTTCCCTCAGTGATGGACTGACCTGGAAGTGTAAGCCAAGTGAATCTTTTCCTCCCTTATGTGGCTTTAGTTCAGAGTGTGTTATCCCAGTAACAGAACTAAACTGGAACATATCCTGACAAGCAGATTATAGGACATAAAGGCGCCAAAGATGAATGGGTTAAGTAAAGCAACAGCACAGACATACAGCCAACCAATCCAGAATTAAAAATCAAAAGATAAGTACCTTGATTTCTTCAACAGGTTAACTGTAATTACAACCAAGCAACAGCATGCCTGGCCGACAGACACAGGAGAGGCAGGGAGGAGATTGAACAAACACGACTTGTTTCACTCTTGTCTGGATAAACCCCCAAGTGGAAAGACGGAGCAGTGAGAGAAAGTTAGATGCTGGTTTGATGTCTGATAGTGTTTTGTTTTTATTTTTTTTTCATATTTTGTTTATTATTTTTATTTTATGTGTATGCGTGTATTGCCTGCATGTAGGTAAGTGCACCTGTGTTGTGCAATGCCCACGGAGGACAGAAGAGGTTGTTGGATTCCCTAGAACTGGAGTTACAGACAGTTGTTAGCTGCCATGTGGGTGCTGGGATTTGAACCCAGGTCTTCTGCAAGAA